TAATCCCAGCACTCGGGAGGCAGAGCCAGGCAGATCTCTGTGAGTTCGAGGCCAGCCTGGGCTACAAAGTGAGTCCCAGGAAAGGTGCAAAGAAACACAGAGAAACCCTGTCTCGAAAAATCAAAAAAACAAAAAACAAAACAACAACAAACAACAACAAAAAAAAAAAAGCTGATGAGGTAAGCACCCCCCATTTTACAGATGAGAGCACTAAGGCCCAGGAAGTAACTTTATCCAAAACTACAAAGCAGGAACTTGTGAGTGGGAGCCAGGATTAAAACCGTGACAGGCAAAGCCTGAGTTCACGATCCCATTATACTAAAACATGTGCCACAGATGGGAGAAATGCCTGACCTGGCCGAGTCCCAAACCAGCTTAAAGCAGGTGGCAAAAAGCCATCCAGGTTACTGCTTGAAATCTATTGATACCAGATCCACCCAGCACCAGCCTCTACCTACCCTTCCTGCCTCCAGCCCATGGGCTCCGGGAAAGGCAGGCCTCACACTCCTTCAATCCCACTTACACACAGCAGGCCAAACACATGGGCACAACCTTTATTTCCCTTCCCTAGACGGATGTCAAAAAAGGCAAGTGAGATATGCTGCAGACAGAGCCAGAGCAAGCCCTTCTCAAGCAGTCTTTAGCTTAGCCCTGACCCCACACCCGTCATTCTTTATGGCAGTGACATCCCACACTCCAGGGGGAGGGGAAGGCAGGGTTTCAGTGGACTCAAGCCCTGCTGGCATGTTGAATGCCACCCGAGCGCTTCTTAGAGAAGGCACAGATATTCAGGTCCAGCACATAGTCAGGCTCAACAGATCCTCAGGACCGGGTGTCCCGAGTCCTTCTTCGGGGTCTGGAACCACAGCCGGAACTTGGTATGGGGCCCAGGCCGGGGGGTGCTCCTGGGGGTTGGTAGCCACATTCACTAGGGTCCAAGGGGTCCCGACTGAGCAGCACCCACACTGCAGGCACATGGCGTCGAACCGTGAGGGGGTCCAGGCCCGTGTCCGGTGAGGCCGGGACCCAGCTGTCTTCAGTTTGCAGGAAACGAAGCTTGGTGAGTTGGTGCAGGCCTGGAACCCGCCGTTTGACGATCTCTGCACAGCTGACAGCCTTTCCAGCGGCCCGGCCAGACCCCGAGAACACCACATGCCTCGTGCTCCCCGCCTCCAGCCGACCCAGCGCCAGTCCCAGCAGGTTCCGGATTTTGCTCCCGTCTCGGACTCGCATTTCCAGGGTGTCGGGAGGAAGCTGGGGCATTGGTGAGGATGCTGGGAGCTCTACAGAGCCAGCCCTCCGGTAGTGTTCCATTCTGCTCCCGTGGCCTGGGTGAGCTCTCTGGCTGCGCACTGGGGGAAGGGGTCAGATGAGTGGCAGGAATATGACCAGGTCCATCCTCCATCACTCCCTCCAGGTTATGGTCCTGTCGCCCCTCACCCTAGCTTCTCAAGGCTGGGGTCAAGAACTATCCCTAGACCCTTCTCTAAATACTTCCCTGAGTCTCAAACGCGGACAGCACCAGATGCCCCTCCCACACACCCCCAACCAGGCTGTCTGGGATAGGGCCACCCTTCATCATCTCAAGCTCTTCGGGGCTAGGTCCCGGATCCCTCACCCTCAACTTTCTAAGAACAAGAGCCTCTCCTCACTAGGTTTCTAAGGGCTGGGACAAGGACCCCTCACTTTGTGCTTCCAAGGAACAGGACTAAGACCCAGGCTCCCCGGGGCACAGCCACGAGCTCTCACAAAGCCCTCCCGAAAGAAAGAACCCCTCCGGGCTCTGGGCCGGACCGAGCAGACCGCAGCCCTAGGTTACCAGGGTAGGCTGGCTTGAGCCAGGCCATTCCGGAACTCGAGTGGGGGCTCGCACAGAGGACTGCTCGCACCAATCGCGGGCGGCCTGGCGGGCTCCCCGTTCGTGGGCCGCTGTCCCCGGCAGCAGACACCCGCTTTCCCCACGCCTGAGTCCCCAGCCCCCGGGATTTGGCTCTTACCGCCGAAGACAGTCCGCGTTAGACACTCCCGGAGTGGCCAAGATGGCGCGCGGGCCGGGAGCGCGCGGGGCCGCGCACGCAGGGGGCGGGGCCCGAGGGAAACCCCGGAGGCCGTGCGGCTCCCTGGGTCCGGTACCCGCACCTCGGCGGCCCCCTGCGGTCCGCGCGGTGATGCCCGAGCACGCCAGTGCCTGCAGAGGGCCCTGCCCGGCAGAGGAACGGCTATCGAAGGAGTCCTGCGCCCGAAGAGTGCGGATTTGTGCCCTTAAAAGATGGACGGCGCGCGTCACCTGTTGACACACTGCATCAGTGAAGGGGAAACATTGGTGGACACAAGCAGCCGAGACCCTTAGTCACGGAGTTCTGAGCTTTGTTCTCATCCTGGGGCACTGGACAACCCTGGCGATCTTCAGTAGGGACTAAGCCATGGCTTGTGCAAAACTCATTGGCCGCAGATGGGCGTATAGGCTGGGAGGATCCGGTAGTGGGGGCAACAGACACTGGTGCCCCTGGGAAGGGCCTGTACCCTGCACCATCCGCGCTTGCGCCGCAGGGGCGTGCCCACAGAGCCTAGCACAGTATCTAGACTATAAAATATTTGTCCAATGATTTGCTGATTAACCACCGAAATGGCAAAAATTGAGAAGAGATTAACTTGGTAAAAACTCGTAGGAAGTTTTGGGGGTTAGAGTCGGCAACCATTTGGATGGAATAGTCTAGGATGGACTGCTAGTTTCAGACCGTTTTAGACACGCTGCGTTTTGCGTGCCAGCAACACTACGGGTTGGGTGGTCTACAGGCAGGTGAAGGAGCCGAGTCACTCCCTCAGACCACCAGAGGGCAGCACACGCTTGGTGGAGCACGGTGCTTAAACTTTGTCCAGGCTTTCTCATCAAGGTTCCCTGCCCCTCCTTCCCTCCCCAAGATCCTAAAACTTACCACATCCAAACAAACCTACTGGGCTCCTCCTCTGGCTACTGGTATTAGGCAGACACAAGGCTATGCTGCCTTGGCTCTGGGCGTCCCTGCTTGTTCCTCCACGACCGTCCTGGCATGCTGGGCCCACCTGGTAGGACTGCCACTCCCCCAAATCCTACACAAGGATTAGATGACCCTACCTGTGCCCTCCTTACCTGCCACAGGATCGGATACTTAGAGAGCAGTTGGCAAATGTGGAATAAATAAATATTGCAATGCCCCACTGTATCAATCAGATGAGAGAGTTCTCTCACAAGAAAGACCAGAAGTACAGTTCCTGGTCCCACCCTGATGGAGACTGACAGCTCTCCCCTTCAGCACCCCGATTCTCACAGCCAAGCCCATCCTAGATCAGCAAGCCGACACACGCCTTCGGTGGCCTCTACAGTTTATTGTCATTGGAATAAATACATTGATGGGAGTGCAAATCATGACTCTAAGGGGACCTGACCTCTGACCTCAGAGCCGTCCCTGAGCACAGGCAGACAGTCTCTGAATTCTGTGCAGACAAAGCCGTCCCTGCCTCATACAGGCAGCTTGGCCCCGGGTGCTGGAGCCTGCCCGCCTTTCCCTGGCCAGGCATGGTAAGCAGCCGTCACTCTTCTGCTGGCTTCAGTTGCTTGGCAGCCTCCAGCTGGCCGAGTAGTTCATCCCACTGGACAAACTGCTTGGAGAGCAGCATCGTCTGGTCACAAGTCAAGGTAACAACAGGAGTCTGAATGAGGAAGCAGAGAGGTTTGGCATGTGCCCAGAGGGGTGGCGGCAGGAGGGAGGAGAATGGGATGAGCACCCTAGGGGCAGGAGAGACAGGCTGGGGAGAATACCATTAAGGACCATTAGCACAAAAGATACAGTCTTGTTGTATTCCTCCAGGAGAGCCTTGGACTCCTCAGTGATCTCCACACACTGGTCCTGTAGGCCAAAGAACAGCTCAGAAAGGAGTTGAATGAGACCCCATCTCCCACTCAACTTCCTGCCTCATTATTCCCTCCAAACCTAGAAAAGATCATGCTAGAATAACCTAGAGTGAAAGGAGCAAACTGAAAAACAGGCGCTCTCGGTCCTAGGCCAGGTGACCCCAACAGCAGCCCAAAGACTAACTGGAGGGGCGGCTTCCACACATTAACATCCCCTCCTCTTCTGTCCCTGTGTTTTTTAAGGATTTTTTATTTTATGTGTTGGGGTGTTCTGCCTGTATGTGTGTGCACCATGTACACGCAGTACCCAAAAAGACCAGAAGGGGGCATCAGATCCCCTGGGATTGGAGTTAGAGGTTGATTTTTAGTGACCATGTGGGTGTTAGGAACTGAACCCAGACCCTCAGCAAGAGGAGCAAGTAACCCTAAGAGACAAGCCATCTCTCCAGCCTTTGCCCCCATTTCTAAAGTCTCTGAACCTGAGAAAAGATATTTCACCCACAGTCAAAACAAATTCTTAGGGATTACTTGGTACCTCTTAACTTCAACCTCTATTATAGAAGGCAAGAGGCCTGGATGTGGCCCTAGGCAAGCCCTTTCCCTCCTCTAGGGCATTCAGAGATAGAACATAAAGCTCTGCATTTCCTCTGCGACAACACACGGGTCTAGGGATGTGTGTCCCCTGCTCACCCCCCCCCCCCCGCGTCGGCAGACATGGTGCCCCATCTCTACCTTCCCTTCCAGCCCTCCCTCCTTCCGTACCTGCTGCTGGATGTGGATCTGGGCCAAGCGCTGCAGGCGGGCAGCGTGCTCAGGAACAGCTGTAAAACACAACACACACTGCCCAGTGATGCTTGTGCCCTCCCCCGGGACTGCTCAATAGTCTATTAGGTCGTCGGCAGGATTAGAGTATTGAGTAGAGGAGCTAAACAAACGCCAGGCTTCATCGACCCCTGAAAGCTGGAGGTGGTGGTGGGGCTCCCTGCCCACCCCAGCCTTACTCCAGGACCTGTGGGGTGGGGTGGGGCTCCCTGCCCACCCCAGCCTTACTCCAGGACCTGTGGGGTGGGGTGGGGAAAACAGATGCCCAGAAGACAGAACCTTCAAGTCCTCAGTATTGTGCTATGAGCAGGGCCAAGTAGAGAGAGTTTTACCTGTTATAGGCCCCTCCCCCTTTTGCTCTCAGCCCAGCAGGGCTAGGTCTTCCTGGCCTAGGGGATGAGGAGCCCAGGAGGCCTGGGAATGAATACCAGGTCCCTATGCTGGCCCCTTGGGCTCCCACACTGAGAGCCGTGGCCACCGTGTTATGCCTGCGGCTTTAGGCTGTCAGATACTCAAGCGGGTAGCTGATCAGGGCAGGGAGAGGGAGCTGAGAGAAATACCTCTAGAGACAGACAAGATGGATATCTGGATTCAATTAAAGCCGCTGCCTGCTTGTCAGAGCCCGGGCCAGGGGCTCTTGTGGCAGTGAGGCAGGGAAAACTCACACCCAGCAGGAGCTCTGACAGTACCGTCCGGGCTCTGCAGCACCCGGAAGGAGAGCTACTGAGGGGGCAGGAAGCAGACGGAATCTCCCGAGTTGGGACTGCTGGAGCTTTGCTGGTGTCCTTAGGCCCAAACTGCCCAAGGCCCTGGGCTTGGGCTCTTACTCTGGAATTTTAACCACAGTCAGGTGGCAGGTACCCACAGGGTAGAAAACGATAGGGAGCAGATCCGGCATTGGAACAGGGAAGCCTCGGCCCCACCTCCGCCTTCCCGCCCGCCGGAGAGTGGAGCTGTGACTGCAGAGGGTACCTTTGATAGAAGCACTGTCCAGCATGGGCACCAAGGCGTCCACTTGTTCCAGGAGCGCCACCTGGGCGAGGATGAACTGTTCCTCTGCAGCACAAAGACAAGGTGACAGCGGTGAAGCAGCCGTGGCCACCGCGACAGCTAGGTGCCAGCAGGGGAAGGCCGGGCCCCAGAGCTCTGGGCAGCAACTGTGCCCGCTGGTCCCCTCCCAGGTGTTCAGTCCCATCCCCCCTGGCCTTTCCTGGGTGCCTCTGCCTGACCCATCTTGAGCCTAAGAGCATCTCCGTCTCTACAAATCCCCGCCCCCTAACTCCAGATCCTTCTCTTCCAGCCTCCCACCAGTCACTGAGCAAGTGCTCCCAGGCCACAGGAGACAACTTCAGACTTGGCTTCCCTAAGCCGAGGGCCCCAGGGAAGATCGGAAAGGAGACGCAGCAGACTGTGCTGGGCAGGTCCTGCTCATGGGCCCTCGCGGGCACAGGTCATTACACATGGCGGGAGAGCTGAGAGAGATGGGAGAGGCAGTGTGGAGTGGCAGGATCTGGGTTCTTCGTGCACTGAAATCCACAGAGCAGGAGGTGTTCGAGAGCAATGTTGTCATGCACAAACGACTGGAGGAAGGGATACTTGGCAATCAGAAGAAAGAACTCACTGAGCTGGCTGGGAAGGTAGGTTCGGTAGACTGAAAGGCTAGTGTCAGGATTTGTTTGTTTGTTTTTGTAGACAAGGTTTCTCTGTGTACCTTTGCGCCTTTCCTGGGACTCACTTGGTAGCCCAGGCTGGCCTCAAACTCACAGAGATCTGCCTGGCTCTGCCTCCCCAGTGCCCAGATTAAAGGTGTGCGCCACCACCGCCTGGCTAGTGTTAGGATTTTATCCTAGTAACAAGACATTGGGGCTCATAAGCAGGCCGGATGATATGATGGAAATGTTTGGAAAGATGGGACAACATACAAAAAGGAAGAGAAGAGGATGCAGGAGAGCATGCAGTTGTCCATGTGTAGGTGGATGCCTACTTCCCGGGGCAGAGCACAGGGAGGGATGGCGAGGCTGGAAGAGTCCTTGAGCCTGGTGTCTGAGCCATGGCACTGGATCTAGGAGCCCTTTGAGAACTCTGATAGCCCCTCGGCAGGAGCTGCCCTCCTCTCCCCAGTCCTCAGTGCAATACTACAACCATCATTCTCCCAGGTAGGTTTCAAACCCAGGTTCCTGAAACAGGGACAACCACCCTGCTTGTGTGCATGAAGACTAAGATGTTCTGATTCGCCACTGTTTATCTCGTGCCCAGAATCAAGCCTGGTTCACACCACATGGTCGATGAATGTTTTCTGTTTCCCTTTCACATTTTTTTCTTCCTTATCCTTTTTTGGGACAGCTCATGTTATGTTGGCTCAGGCTAGCCTTGAACGTGTAATCCTCTTGCCTCAGTCTCCCAAGTACTCAGGACTCCAGACACACACCCACTGTGCCAGCGTGATGGCTTTTGGATGAAGGAATGGATACAGGAGCTCAGAAAACTCTACCTTAGAATGACCGACTAGAATCTCTGCCTAGAATACCGAACTCCCAGAGATTTGTGCCAGGGAAGATGCTGATCTTTCAGGGAGAGCCACTCTCTTCCATAATTCGCCAAAGTGGCAAACACAAAGGGGGAGGGGAGGAACCTGCTGTATGTTCTCTAGACCGTTTAAAGACTGAGCAGTGGGGCTGGAGAAACGGCTCAGCAGTTAAGGGCGCCTGCTGTTCCAGAGACCCGAGTTCGCTTCCCAGCACCCACGTTGCGTGCCTCACAACTACCTCTAACTCCAGCTCCAGGGAGATATGATGTCTCTGGCCTCTGTGGGCACCTGCATTCATGTACACATACCTACACTCAGACACACACTAACACATGGTTAAAATAATAAATCTTAAAAGAGAATGGGCAGGGGGGGGGGGGGGGGTGGCGCATGCCTTTAATCCCAGCACTCGGGAGGCAGAGCCAGGCGGATCTCTGTGAGTTCGAGGCCAGCTTGGTCTACAGAGTGAGATCCAGGAAAGGCACAAAACTACACAGAGAAACCCTGTCTTGAAAAACCAAAATTAATTAATTAATTAAATAAAAAGAGAATGAAAACAAAACAAAACAAAAAAACAAAAGCCAACCAACCGACCGCCAAGTTGTCCCTTTGACCACATATATGTGAGTCTCTCAGGGCGATATTGTAGACATCAAGGGAATAGGTACTGTTCAGAAAGGATTGCCCTGTGTTATCATGCAGAACAGGGAGGGCCACAGTGTCTGTGGGCATGCTGTTGGCATTGGTGTAGACAGTCAAGGGCAAAGTTCTTGCCAAAAGAATTCGTGTGTGACCTGCATACTAAACGCTGTAAGAGCTGAGACAGCTTCCTGAAATGAGTGAAGAAAAACGGTCAAAAAAGGAAGTCAGCGAAAGGCACCTGGGCCCAACCAGAGCAGCAGGCCGCCCTGCCGCCCAGGAAGCACACTGCATGGCCGCCCTGCCGCCCGGGAAGCACACTGCACGGCCGCCCTGCTGCCCGGGAAGCACACTGCATGGCCACCCTGCCGCCCGGGAAGCACACTGCATGGCCGCCCTGCCGCCCGGGAAGCACACTGCATGGCCGCCCGGGAAGCACACTGCATGGCCGCCCGGGAAGCACACTGCGTGAGACTGTGAGAGAGCAGCCTGAGCGCTCCAGCCCATCACCCTGGAACTTGTTATGACTCCATGTACAAGAAGAAAGGATACAGACTGTACAAAATGAAAGATGAAGCTGGGCGGTGGTGGCGCACACCTTTAATCCCAGCACTCGGGAGGCAGAGCCAGGCGGATCTCTGTGAGTTCAAGGCCAGCCTGGGCTACCAAGTGAGCTCCAGGAAAGGCGCAAAGCTACGCAGAGAAACCCTGTCTCGAAAAACCAAAAAAAAAAAAAAAAAAAAGAAAGATGAAACTCAGGCCGCTATTCTCCCTTCTGAATGGCAATGCTCTCTGCGCCCACACTTTCCAGGAAGATCCTCTGCCAGTGAGCAGTGAGAAAGATTACAAAAGAAAGTCCTAAGGATGGGCCTTTGACAGGGTATTGAAGTAGCGTCCATAGGCCTGGCACTGTGGTCTACAGCAGACCCAGAGGTGTACTACACTCAGTGCTGACTACAAAGCTCACGGGATCGCCTCGGGCCTCTGTCCAGAGCCAGGCCAGCATTCAAGAAGGCAGATAACAGGCTACATGTAGAACAAGATAGAGGAGGGCAGCCCTCTCCGCCCGACCCCTCCACAGCTGATACCCTCAGGTGCCTGTGCACACAGTCCAGCATTACCTGCTAAGATGAACTGCACCTTTGAGGCATCAGGGATGGCAATGCGATCGATGTATTCAGGATCCAGGTACTTGATCAGGTCTTCAACTAGCAAAGCAGCAGGACAGAAAAAAAGAGACAGAAATGGAACCTTGTTTTATAAAGGAAACTCAGAGGCTGGCAAAGTGGATGAACAGGTAAAGGGGATTGCTGCCAAGTCTAATGACCCGAGTTTGATCCCTGGAACCTACATGGCGAAAGGAGAACTGACTCCCACGGGTTATCCTCTGACCACACACACACACACACAGAGAGAGAGAGAGAGAGAGAGAGAGAGAGAGAGAGAGAGAGAGAGAGAGAGAGAGAGAGAGAATGAAGTCTGGGGAGTGCTAATCCTTGGGGAGATCCTTGTGCTATGAGCTGACCACAGTGCCGGATCAGCAGCACCCACCGGCTTCCCTCACTTTACTCCTCAGATCATCTAGTATCATCAGCATCTGCTGGTTGACCTCATGCTTTGGAGCCTGAAACACAAGTACTGTGACCACTCTGCCGCAAGACCCCTCCCCCTCCCCCCACCTCTACCCCCGCCCCAGCCTCCACACACACACACACACACACACACACACACACACACACACACACACCTGCCACCACTCTGCCGCACTGCCCCCTCCCGCACCCCCCTCCCCCAGTATTCCCACTGACCTATTCTTACCAAGGTACCTTTCTCAATGCTACAAGACAAGCTAGGGTTTTGTCTAATTTCTAGTTGCTGAAAAATGACTAGCTACAATAATTGAAAATGCTTGGCTAAACCAACCTTGCCTAGAGGAAATGTCGCTCCCTATCCCACTCCTGCACCAAGGGAAGCTTTGTGGAAGAACTTTCAGCCTACAACTCTGGGCACTGGGCACAGGCTTGGGATTTATCCCTAAGGAAGCACACCCCGGTTTACCACATCCGCAGCAGCATGCCTTCCATCCTCCAGGGGCTATTCTGGCCACACACTGGCTGAAGGGCAGGGGCAGGCTTTGGGAAGCGGACAGGGAGGCAGAGCGGACTGGACACCTACTGCAAGCACTCACTCTTTTTGTAGAGGATCTTCACCCTCTCCCGCTTACTGGCGATGTTCCCTAGAGCCACCTGCACCTTGACCAGACCGTCAGCCACCTGAGAGGAAGCAGAGGTTAATTCCAAGGTGTACCACTGGGCTTAAGGCTTGGAAAAACCCGGATGTGAGGGCGCACGCCTTTAATCCAAGCACTCGGGAGGCAGAGGCAGGCGGATCTCTCTGAGTTCGAGGCCAGCCTGGTTTACATGGCAAGTTCTGGGACAACCAAAGCTACTTAATAAAGACCCTATCTAAAAAAATTAATTAATTAAAAATAAAAAAAAATGTGGAAGAACCGTCGTTTCTCTGGACTTTTGAGCCTCTGAATTCCAGTAATTTAGCTTAGTCTCCCTTCTCTTGCATTATAGACGGCACAGTCTCACCTCTAGGAACTCTTTCATGTGAAAGGAGAGGGAAGGAGTCATGTTATCCTTGGTCGGATAGGGGTGGCAGTGTCTGATTGGGGAGGTAAGGAGCGAATTTAGGGTTAACGGGGCACCCTTACATACTATATATTTCCTGGTTCCTAAGTCCTGGGTTTGGGCATGAAATATGCAAATGTCCTCACCCAGTTCTTCTTTAGCTCAAGGCTGGAGAACAGACTGGCTGGCCTACCTCTAGCCCCATTCCCTCTATGAAGTCTAGTAGAGGAGATGAAAGGCTCACTGGGATCCCAAAGACAGTGCAGTCCCCATCTTAGAGAATACAGAGGATCAGCTTAGGGCAGAGAACAGTTAAGACTTAAGGGTTTGAGGGGCTGGAGAGATGGCTCAGCGGTTAAGAGCACAGACTGCTCTTCCAGAGATCCTGAGTTCAGTTCCCAGCAACCACATGGTCCATGGGATATCCCAGTGGACAAGACCAGCAGAGAAACAGCAGTCAGGTTCTCAGAACAGAAAATCCGGAACAAAGATACACACTGGAAACATAATGACACCCAACGAGTAACTGAAACTATGGATGTGAATGAGCCTGCCTAGGCTGAAGAGTACAATATTCCAATAGTCAGGTCAGCTAGAGTGTGAGGCTGAGGAAATGAGAGAGTTGTCAAGGTTTTTGTTTTTACAGAAGGTGGAGAGTGCTGATATTCAAGGGACAAATACTTGGGGGCTGGGGGCAGGGGAGGCACACAAATAAGACAGAAAGTAGTAGCTAGAGATAAAAGGAAAATCAAGAGGGTCATAGATACTAAAGGGGGAAAGTTGTTTTGTTTTGTTTCGAGACAGGGTTTCTTTGTGTAGCTTTGGAGCCTGTCCTGGATCTCGCTCTGTAGACCATGCTGGCCTCGAACTCACAGAGTTCCGCCTGCCTCTGCCTCCCGAGTGCTGGGATTAAGGCGTGCACCACCACCGCCCCGGCCCAGGGAAAAGTGTTTTGAAAAGTTGGTTCTCAAGTTGGAACACAGTCTGCTGGTGACAAGTTTACAAAAAGTACATACGCCTTTGATGTATTTAGCTCCAGAGCATTCCTGATACTATCAGAAGTTCTCCAGTAAATGGTTCACACATCGTAAAAAGGGATTTAAGGACACCCAAGCTTTCCGTCAGAGAATTCAGACACTATGTTCGCCCACATCTGAATACCTAGGACTCAATTCCTAACCTTCCTGATCTGGGCCTGCTCAGATCGCAACTTTCATCCCTTGGAGGCTTCTTTATCCACCTGTGCTCAGCCTAGAGGGGTCCTGTCCCCGTGCAATTCATTTAGCAATTACTTTCTCAGGGCTCCAGAACCACACTCCACTGCGGCCTTCAGCTCTTACTGAAACTCCCATTAATCGTTTTTTTTTTTTTTTTAATTTGTCTGGTCTCCTTAGCGCGCCGGTGAGCGCAAGGGTGGAGTTTTAGTAAAAGTTGTCACTGAGCCCATCTCAAAGAGGCTTAAGCATCCGCCCCCCGCCCCCGCTCACCCCAAACCCCTCGGGAAAGGAACCCAAGCGTCCGATTCGTTCCAGGAGGTCCCAGATCTTTGTTATTTCAAAGACTGGGCTGTCAACTACGGAACAGAAGTGGTTGCATCCGTCCTGAGGGCAGGGCCAGTGGACCGCTCCTGCCCTGCCCCAGAAACGGATCGCTGGACCGGACCGCTCACCTTCCTGGAGCCCCGGGTCCCGCCCGGCCCGTACACCCAGCGCTCCAGCTCCTCCACTCGGGACTGTAGCCGCTGCACATCGGTCAAAGCCGCCATCACTTCTGCGGCCGGGCCTCAGTCGCCCGAAACAGCCGGAGGGTGGGACGTCCGCCCAAATAAGAAGTCTGGCCAATCCTAGGGCACCGTTGCTCCTTGCAGGAACTGACGTCACTATTCAGTCTTTGGATGTCGGAAGTGACCGGACCGATGTCAAAGCAATCTGGTTACCTAGGTAACGTTCTGGGTCCTGGCCCTATCCTGGCTTCCAGGGCCTAGTTGTCAAGACTTTAAGTGTTCTAATTCCAGGATACAGAGTCTCTTCCACCCCATTCCCCGAAGGTGCGTGTATAAATACATCCCCTATTCCAAGATAGGTTCATACCCACCCAAAACAAGAAAAGTGAGCAAAAGTGTGTGGATTCGTAGAGAAACACACACATACCTTGCCACACACTACTGATCAGCAGGCAGCTTCCTGGGGGAGACACCATACATTTTTGGAGTCTTTTAAGGTTCAGGTGAATTGCACCTAAGCCTCTCATTGTCAGGACGTAACACCCGTCTGATTTGAGTCCGTGCTCTGGGTGGTGGTACTAGGAGAGGAAGCAGGAGGATGGCTGCAAGTTTGAGGCCAGCCTGCTCTACACAGTGAATTCAAGACCCGTCAGGGGACGACGCAGTGAAAGCCTGCTTTTTGTTGTTGTTGTTGTTGTTGTTGTTAAAAAGTGCTCTTCTGTTCTCACAGAGCTTTGCTATTCTGCCTTCCACTTGCACAGCTCAATGAGGCCTGTGTACCCTTCGCCTCCCAGACCCAAACAAGAAGAGGAGCCACGCGAGACGGAGCAAGTACAACTTTATTTTCCAGATGCAACCCAAGGGACGTCTTCACATTCAACTCCAACCCTTCACCTGCCCCCTGAAAAGGAGCAGAGTGGACTCAAAGAGGTGGGGTGCCAAAGATGACATTAACATAGGGGTCACATGAGGAGACGACAGGGGTTAAGGGGGAAGAACTCTTTGGCGGATGCTGCAGGAATCAGCCAGGGAGGTGGTGTCCTCCTTTTGCAATGAGGTAGACGGAACATAATAAGAAATCCCTTTGGTGTGGAGGTGGCATGCTATCATCTCCCAGGACCGGATCCCAGAGGGGGCATCACATCCTGAAAGAACCAAGGTGGGAGGGTACCTTCTCTCCCCTGCAATGATATTGGGACTCTTAGCTCTCAGTAGCTGCTTTCAGGGCAAGGTGCTGGAAGGGGTCCCTGTAGAGGGTGGAGGCGGAGGATTGGTTGGACCCAAGGAAGCTGGCACAGGCTGGCGTCGAGCAAAGAGGATACCTGATAAAGGGGTGAAGAGATGGTAAAATGCAAACATAAATAGGAGAGGGTGGGACCCGAAACAAAAAAAGGTGAGCAAAAGTGTCTGGATTCTTAGAGAAGCATACACAGCCCTTTCCACACACTACTGATAACAAGTCCTTCCGGTCAGTAAGAAGCTCCTATGCCAATATTGATACCCTTACGTGGGTAAAGAATAAATACTAACACACAGACCCATAACAAAGCAGACATCCATGGCGACCATGCCGTAGAGACCATGCTGGGACCCCATGCCATCTAGTCCTTCTCTTTAACCCATTTTTAGTGTAACAATCCTCTGGACCCCCATGCAAGTTCAGATACTCCTGAACCTCATGCTAGTAGAGAAGATCTAAAATACCCATGCCAGTTTAAATCCCAACTTCATGCCAGTTAGACCGCCTGTAGTACCCATACCAGTGTAGACCACCCCATTGATCTCTAGCGCCATGTTGATACTGCTGATGCCACTGCCTGCCAGATTGAGGGGCCCATCCAATCGCTCTTCTGTCCAGAAGAAGGCAGGGGAGTCACATTTTAGGGAACCAGATTTCACACTTAGACTCCTCCCTTATTCATACAGTAGCCCCCACCCCCCCACCCCCATCTCACTTGAATCCCATACCATAATTATGTGGCTGTCTACAACAGAATCTGTCTGCACCGCCTTCAACATGAAGTCTACCTTCCCTCGGTAGACAAGCCCAAGGCCCTTCCTCACCCCTTACAGGAACCTTGCCACGCGGCAGGAAGCTGGGAGGTGCGCCCAGTCGAGGTGGGTCCATGGGGCCCATCAGCACAGCCCTCTTCTCTGGAGGCTCTTCTGGTCCCAGCTTCTCCCGTGCAGCCTCCAAGGTCAAGCCCACAGGTAGTGCCAGACGAGGGGGTGGAATCCCAGTCTCCTCTGGGGGGAAAAAAACCCTCAGGTCACTAGGCTCCTCTAGCCCACCCAATCTGTGTTTGCATTTAATGCTCCCCTAAGCCTGGGGCCAAAAGAGGTCATGCAGGCTGAGTAAAAGGTTCGGTCTCTCCTCCCATTCAGAGGCTCTGAAGATGTGGAATATAAAGGTCCAGCATATTGGTCTAGGCTGGTGTATGTCAGAGAATGTGCAAGTTCTCCTTGCTCTTTGTTGTTAAATAACCCAAGTCACGGGAGCAGCAAACTACATCCAAATGGGACCCCTATGTAAACAGCTATGGAATAAAGCTGCCATGGATGAAGGACCTTCTCCTGAACTTCAGACCCCACGGGTCTCAAGGCTCAGGATCACTAACTTAGAGGTTCCCAAACCTCCTAGCCCCGTCAGACCTTGCTGCTCTCGTATGGCAATGCTTCCACACCCCAGTCCCTATATTGTGATATTCCCTGTGTGTTAGTGCTTGCATAGATCTCAGAGACGCCAATCCCCCCAAGCTCCGCCCTCTCCCCTCGCACCTTTCTTTACAGGGCTAGGGCTCAGTTGAGCGCACGCCTGCGCAGGCAAGCCAGAAGCAGGACCCTGGGCAGGACCCGGGCAGCTCGGGGTCGCGGCCGGGGTGGGGCCATGACCCGAGGCGGGGCCAGGAGCTCCCCGAGGTGTCGGCCCTGCTAAGCTGAAGAGCGGGACCGCGGTGTAAGCCTGGCGACGGCCTTCACGCCGATTGCTGTCTATGGCAGCCTGGAGCTCCCCTGGGGAACTGAGTGCCCGCGTCTCGCACTCGTATGGGTACAAATACTTCATGTACCTAGGGGCGGACGGATGGGCGGTGGGAGGCTGGACCCAGCGGATGGTCCCGCCCCCGCCCCGCTCTTCACTCCCCCGCCCCACCCAGCCCCTCTGCTGTCCTCACTGGGTGCGTAGCGTGAAGGCGGCAGAGGTGATGGTGGTTGGCAAACTGAGGCCGCGTGTGACCTCCCGCCACACTTTTCTGTTGATGACCTCCACCAGGCCACCCTTGGCTGTCACCAAGCGAAACAGCGCATACAGGTCCAGCACCTGTTTGGCCATGATGGGCACCCGGTTCACTGGCGTCCCTGGTGTGAAGTGGGTAGAAAATCAGGACACCAAGATTAGGCCTCGTCTGAGATCATCTCAAGGGACTGAAGGGTATCTCCATGAGGCTTGGGTAAGGACAGGACCCACAAAAGGATTGCGGGGGAGGGGTAGGATTACAGGCAGAGCCCCCATGTAGCAGGAGGGACAGGAGACTAAGACAAGAAATCAGCTTGTTGTCCTGTAAGCGACAGAAGGTAAATATTCATACTTTGTGGGCCAAAGGGTACCTGTCATAAATACCCAATTCCGCAATCGTACCCCGAGAACAGCCTTAGAAGATTTAGAGGATAGGCAAGGCTGTGAACCAATGAAACTTTTATTCACAGGCTCTGAAATTAGAATCTCATAGCCTGCAAATGTTTTGCCTGTTTTAACTCTATTTTCCAAATATGTAAAAAAAAAAATGAAAAGCCATACTAATCTACCAGACAGATGGATTCGGTCTGAAAACTTTAGTTTGCTGGGCTGACTGTAGGAAGGACTTCCGTATGTACTGAGGAGCAATGCTCCCCAGAGGCTGCAGGAAGCCAGGGGACAGACAGCAGGTGCAGAAGAATCAGCTCCTGCCTGGGCCAGTCAACTCCTTAGCCTAGCCACCCCCGCCAGCCAGCCCTGACAAAGGGGCCTGTCTGAGCTGAGCGATGGGCCCCAGTTAATTCCTTACCGATCCCCGGCCCCTTCCACCGGCGCCTTTGGACCCGAACAATTAGCTGCGGCCTGATTAATGGGGGGAAATTATCGGCCCCGCGAGACCTCCTCCCCCTGCAGCTGAGCAGAGGGAGGCAGAGCTCGGGGTGTGGGCAGGGCTGTCAGACCACGCCACCCCATTACCAGGAGAGAGAAGGTCCCCCGGAAGGTGCAGAGAGGGAAGGAACACTAGGACTACCATGACCACGTCTCCTTGGGGAGCGAGAAAGCCCGGGGTCCTCGCACAGGGCTCTTAGGAAGAAAGGGACCAGAAAAGGTTGCTGAGCATTGGGTTGGGGACTGGGGAGACTTAGGCCAGAAGATGTACTGGGAGGGGGCAGTGCAGCCAGTTAATTAGCAGCTTATCAGGCTGCGCTCTGAGTGAGTTAATTAGCTTTGTAGAGAGAGATAATGAGTCAGTGTTCAGTCCCATGAATCTGGGGAGAAGCGGAAGTGATGGACTGCTGCCCACCCTCATCCCTCCTGGACCCCTTCTGTATTCTTTCAACACTGAGATTTTCTGGAGAGGAATTCCTTCTCCACTGCCCAATTCTCAGGGCTCCAGACCATCCTTCGGGGAAGCCTTCCTTCAGTCTAATTCTATTCTGTCCTTCTGCAGAGCAGGTGGGCAGTGCCCTGAGCTAAAGCAAAAAGGAAATGGAGTGGAGAAAAGGCTGGAGGAAGGGTGTACTGTACACACCCGACCGTTTTGGTTGGTCCTAAGTCTTGGGACCCTCCTATCTCAAGCCAGTCCTGACCAGTTCCCCCTCCCACCTTCCTAATTGATCTCACACTCATTAACCTGCCTGTGGGTTGGGCACTAATTTATTCCTGGTGGAGAAAGGGGGCAGGGTCAGAGGTCAAAGATGCTATTGAGAGCCCCAAGGACAGGAGCCACCAACCCCAGGCCTCTGCAGGGAGGACCTCACCTGGGGACTACACCTGGAGGTCTTCCTTCCTCAAATGTAGTCAACAGGAGAAATTAATTGTGGGGTGCTCCCCCACATCGCTCTACTCACCCCTCTTCTGCATGAAGCTAAACAGGTCATCCAGAAACTCCTTCCTCTTGGGGTCCGCATCCAGTTCATACAGCTGGGGAAGGGCCAAGGTCACTCTCCAGCTCCACTGGCCCCCTCCCTCCTGGAACCCCAATTCAGGTGGTACGCTGGACAAGAGCACTAGCTGAAGGGTGATTGGACTCTGAATGTGACTTCTCTGGCCCCAAACTGACCCCCAGGGGCAGGCAGGGTGCCTTTATCTAATCCATCCAAGAGACCTATCCTAGCTAGTGGTACCCTAATGTCTCAAACCTTGAATCTGGCAAATATGGGGGTGGGGGTGGGGGAGAAAGCAGGAAGGTACTTCAGTGGCTCAGCCTGTTCCTCGGGACAGAGTCTTGACCATCCTGAGGATGGACATTCAGAGTCCCAGGAGGGAAGCCAGGCTGGGGCTGTGCTCCGACCCCGGAGACTGATGGGTATCTGAGGCATTTGTTCATTCCCTTTAATCTGTATAAGGGCTTCATGCAGTTCAGATGCTTGTGGGCCAGGATTGGAACTAGGGTGAGTTCAGGCAGGAAGGATGCTGGGGAACTCCTTATAGGCGCCATCTTGTCTGATCTCCTTCCAGAGGGGGTTACTGTGACTACTGTAGAAGCTATCACACAGGCACTGGCCACATGACACACAGAATCTAAGATGTCAGAACATAAAGAACCTATTGGTCATCACTGCCTCCAACATCACCTCCCAAGTCTAAAACGAACAGTTCCAGAATCATGGAGTCATTGATCCAGAGTAACAGTTTCTCAGCCTCAGCTTGCTATGAGTCACACATACAGTAACATTCCATCCCTCAATAATGACTCTCGAAGTAAAATCCCCCTGTGAGTATCAAACCCCAGAGACCCAGCTTTGGAGCCACACACACATGACCCAGAGCTCTAAGTCTCACCTGGGTACCTACAATGACACCCACACTTTCTCAGTCGTAAGTTCAGAACAATGCCCTAGAGAAACAGCCCCTAGAGACGAATCTCCAGGGTAACAAGGCCCTGAGTGACACTCCTGGTCTTACACTAATGCCACAAAACACTAGCTACAGATTAGTACTTCTAGAAAATACCCCAAACCAACACCCTATGAGCAACACCACCAGAATGGCACACCTGGGAATCACAGCCCTGAGTAACACCATGGTGACAGCCTGACCTGCTGTCCCTAGAATAACACTGGAAGGTTCAGCCTAAGGTCATGTACCTGAAGACTGGAAGTGCCCAGTGTGCACAGGGGCCCTCAGGTACACCCTGCTGAAGTGAGCAGCACAAGCTGGGAACTCACATCCATGGAACTTAGGCCAGGGGAAAAAACTGGATGGTAAAGCAGTGTGGCAGGAAAGAGGATGGATACACCAGCCTGCAAAAGGAGCAGCAGCCTCTCTTCTCCTTCCAAAGACAGTAGACAGCCCGAGACACTCCCTTTGGTCCTGGTGACTTGGTATGTGGGAGGGTAGATGGGGTAATGGTGCCATGGAATCCTCAGACTCCAGCTCTCCCTCCCTCAAAGGCCTTTACACCCCATTCTACCTCCGTTTCAACTCATCAATGGCCTCCAACTGCCAGCACCCATGTTTCTGGGATCTCCTCTATCTCTTCGTGAATCCTGTGCACTTTCTGCATGTCCCCATGGGTGTCTCTCCTGACTCATCACTATCCATCCTCCAGTCCTCTTATCTCTCTCGGTCCGTTTTTTTACACCCTGCAGAGGCTGGTAGGGACGCGTGGACCACTTTTGACAGAGGGGAGGAAGGAGGGCCAGCCTCGCAGTGATGGAGAGAAGGTTCCTACCTGCTTGAACTGTTCCTCATAGGTCCACTCATGTGGTTGGAGACCAGGGGGCTGGTTGGAAGGCGAGTTGGGACACCGGGCTCCTGGATGGCTCTCCTCAGCTGCCTCTTCTTCTGCTAAGGGTGCCTCTCCCTCCTCCTCTTCTTCAGCGTCCTCCTCTTCTTCAGCCCTAACCACCCCCAAGGCCCCCTCAGCCGGTAGGGTCCGGGCGCCAAGCAGGGGAGGCTGTGGAAGCGGTAGGCGCGGAGGGGCCAAAGGCCCCACCCCTTGGGCCAGCCGCGCCGCCTGCTGCCTCTGCAGGGCCTCCATTACGGCTTCCAGGCGCAGTCCCCCTGCTGGGGGGGCTCCTGGTACCAGGCGGGGCCCCGAGGAGAGGGCCGTCTGTGGGGGAGGGAATTATGGGTGCTGGGCCTTGCTGCACCCACACCCGACAGCACAAGGGGGGATACGCATGGCTTCAGGGACATACATGGAGTTATAAGGGAAAGGGCAAATAGATCAAGTGAACAGAGACAGAGGGACAGAGGGAGCAAAGGAGACAAGAGACCAGACCTAGGCAGCCAGAAATGGCCAGAGCCTGGGGATAGGAAGAGGCCAAGCAGATTGGGAAGAGTAGCAAGGACCAAGGAAGAGTGCTGCAGGGAGATGTGACATACACACACGTACTCACAGAGACAATGACGAGGAGATACTGAGACAGAGACTGGGGAGAGACCGTGGGGAGACATAGAGGCTGAGGAGGGCCAAGAAGGGGAGGGAGGGAGGGGGGGGTTAGAGGGAAGGAGAGAGAAAGTGAGAGAGAGAGAGAGAGAGAGAGAGAGAGAGAGAGAGAGAGAACATCAGGAGATAAAATACCTAAGAAAGAGGGACAGACAGCTGAAAAGAAACAGCAAGATGGGCTGAGAGAGACGCGGGAAGACCGACGCAGCAGGAGAGAGAAAAGACCAGAAAGAGTCAGAAAACAGAGGACACTGATGGGAAAATGGGATAGAAAGGTAAAAGACGAGAATCAAGAACCGAAGAGGTACGGGAAGAGGGCAGCAGTGCCTGGGTCTGGGACAGGGACAGGACCAGACGGGCACGGGGCGGCGGGTCACTGCGCCTGGATCCCGGGCTCCGGACGCTCTGCAGCTACACTCACCTGCCTGGCACCGCCCGAAGCCCCCGGTGTCTCCACGGCGGTCCCTCTGCTCCGCCGCCTTCCGGGCGGCTCCGGTCTCAGCTGGGTTCCCTGCGCAGGGTCCCCGCTGTGCGCTCCTGCCGCCTTGCGCTCTTCTGACCGCGGTGCGCTCACTGGCGGTCGCTCGGCTGCCTGCGGTCCCGGGGGCGGGACCCGAGCCCAGCAGGGCGGGCGCTGGCGGGAGGGCGCAGCGGGAGAGGCCAGGGTGGGCTCGGCCCCTCTTAGCCCCCCAACAGGTGTCTCCCACCTTCCTTATAGCTAGGCTCAAGGGAGGGGGCGCCGGAGAGCTATGGGGAAATCCAGCTATTAAACTCCAGACCATGGCCCCGCCCAGCCTCGCAAGCGGTCCCCCAAACCCACACTCTGGGCCCTCTGTTCACACATTAACACATTTTGTCACAAATTCAGGCCCAATCTTACACACTCCGTTTAAAGGTCACTAGAGAGGTCAAGGGCCTGGGCAAGCTGTGATCACACAGAATGGCTCTGCTGGATAATGGGGTGAATGTGGAACACCTGGACAGAATGGAGCTTTGCCTCGAGCTCTGCTCGCGTCCTATCTCCAAGTGCAAGTGTGTGCCAGTTTGTACACAGGGATGCATATACCAGTGGCTCCATATCTGTGCACTTACACACTCAGAGGTGTCTGTATTGCCTGCACACCTACACCAGGATACACTGTATGAGATATACGGGCATACACATTTCTCTTCTTAAAAACCTCACTTGACATTCTCTTAAGGATTTCCAAGCACGTATAGAGTACTATGACTCTTGGCTTCTCACTGTTTTGTTGCAGTGATCAGCAATTTGCCCATTCACACACATTCTCCACACATGTATCCCTGACTTCCAAATCTGTATGTCCAGACTCCTTGAGCCAACTGCCCTGGGCCTGTCCGCCCCCCCCCCCCAATTCTTTGATGCTGTTTCTGCTTGGTGAGTTCTGACTGGCCAGCCAATTTCTCCTCTGAGCTGCCTGTCCCTGTTCCTCTCAGGTACCCTCAAACACACATCCTTTTTGTGGTCAAGGAGACCTACCTGCCAAAAGCATGAGGATCTCCATAAGCTGTGAGCAGCAGATGTCTGTAGGGATGACACCTGAATGGCTACGCAACTGGGCCAAACCCTATCCTCAGACTTTACACCCAGTGGGGCACATATGCCTCGGGACAAACACGCCCCTACATGGCAGGAATCTGGTGTGACCTTTCTTTCCTCCCTCATTCTCCTCCAGTTGGCTAGCTCCTCTTAGTCTCAGCTTGCCCTGACCCCAGACTACCACTCACTCTGGTGCCACGCCTGATTGCCTGCCTCTACCCTCCACCCTCTTCTGAAATCCAGCTCCTGTTGTAGTACCGAGTACTTGCTCTCTATGGCCATCCCTGGCCATGCCGGGGCTCAGCCCGTTCACTCCTTTGGCAAGGTTCGGTGTCTTGCCCCTCACGTATCAGATCTCATAGCCAGTCACAATCCCCTTCCAACCCCTCCAATCCTTGGCGATCCACTCATCTTCAGCATTGAGATGTCCTCACCCCGTCTTCATGGATGTCTGAAGATGTCTCTCTGCTGCAGAGCACCCCGCTCCACCACGCTGGACTCATAGAGGGGTGCATTAGCTATGGGGAAATCCAGCTAGTGAACTCCAGACCATGGCCCCGCCCAGCCTCACAAGTGTCCCCTAAACCCACACTCTGGGCCCTCCGTTCACACATTAACACATTTTGTCACAAATTCAGTATTGTGGATGACTGGAGGGTAAAGGGTAGAGATGTACGTACGGAACTCCGGAGTCCAGCTTGTTCCTTTCTCTCCTAGCTTCCACTGGCTGCTTAGAGGTATCCGGAGAGAGGGATGTAAGATTCTTCCTGGGAACGTAGGCTAGGTTGGGGGAAATTCCAGTTCTAAGACACTGGAGATGACTTTTTGTGGGCCTTAATGGGAGGGGGCATGGAAATAGGCATCCCCCCCTCACCTCCAAATACCAGGAATCAAACTACAAAAACTACAGCTAGGAAGGAGTGAAGGGGAGGAATAAGGCCAATTGGGATCTGGCTTTAAAGGAAAGGCTGCCTCTTACCCCCACCACATACAGGCTTCCTATACCTCAGAGACAAGACAAAATGACCCAGATCTTCAAAAACCAACACTCATTTATTGAGTGCTTAATGGCAGGCACTGTTGGACACAGGTCTGAATAAAACAGCATCACTGTGACATGGTATTGTTCTAGTGGAGGAAATACATAATGGGTTAGATGGAGGTGTGCAATTGGAGCTGGGTCTGGTGGCCACAGACATGTAATCCCAGCTACTTGAGAGGCTGAGGCAGGAGGATCACCAAGCTAAAGGCCTGCCTGGACAACAGAGTGAGTTCAAAGTCAGCCTGAGCAATCTGGTGGGGTCTGTTTCAAGATAAAAGGTAAGAAGAAGACTGTAGATGTAGTTCAATGGTAGGGTACTTGGCTTACTTGCTTAAGGTTCTAAGATAAATCCCCAGTATCAGGAGGGGAAAAATTAGTGTAGCAAATTACCATTCTCCCTAGTTTAGAAACTTGAAACAAACAAACAAACAAACAAAAAAAACCACCGCTTATTTTCTTATGTTTTTATGGACAGCAATTCAAGAATCCTTCTCTCTCTCTCTCTCTCTCTCTCTCTCTCTCTCTCTCTCTCTGTGTGTGTGTGTGTGTGTGTGTGGGTGTATGTGTGTGTGTGTGTGTGAGAGAGAGAGAGAGAGACTCCTTGTTTATAAGGTTTTTAAATTATTTTATTTTATATGTATGGGTGCTTCCTGGTGAAATTATTAAAGCCACTCCATGTAGTTAAAAGGGAGGTTTATTTTGTGGGGTAACTTACAAGTGAAGGGATAGGTTACAGGGTCTGGGAAAGGTGTAGTGCAGTCCGGCAGTGTTCTCTGGAGAACTCTGCTCAGGTCTGCCTCCAGTGTCCAGGGTCCAGGAACCAAGAGAGCCAGCGCATCCGGATCTTGGGTCTTCAGGGTCCTCTCTTGGCCCTGCCTTGTAGGCGTGACAGTTACCGAAGCCTCAATGGGGGTTGGAACTTCCAGATCAAAGCTGGAATGGCTACCCACTACATCTCCTCCTTTTGTCTAAATAAGAAGGTTCTAACCTAATACAAGACTATATACAAAGGAATGGTTATCAAATATTGTCCAGGAGTAATGAGGGATAATGACCTAGATAAGATGGAACTACAACCAATGCGAACAATATCAAGCAATGATATAGATATGATAGAAGAAAAGGATAGATTATTGAATCTACTTTTAAAGAGCAACTTGTTTAAAATGTTTTACATTGCTATGGATTTTAGTTTATTGATACAAGTTTAAACTTAATTTTGTTATACTGTACATATATATATATATATATATATATATATATTCTTGTTTGAGGTATTATGTTTATGTAACTCATTTAAATTGTAATGGATAATTAAGAAATACAGATTAATAATTAGTCTTCTATGATGGTCAAACTTATAGTCATGTTGTTTTCTAGGTATACATAGATATAATTCAATTAGGTAGATAATCTTCAAACACTTCAAAGACCTACAGATATGGCATTTAAAATGTTTTAAAAATTTAGACTTTCTGAACAGTGAGACATGTCTGCTCCTGGCAGCACCGATTTACTTCAGAGAGGAGGATGGGCATTAAAGACACTCCATATCGAGTTTATCTTCATCTTGGTAAAAATAACCATTTGGGCAAGAAACTGTTCTTGCCTGGACTGCTTGATCAACTGGACATACAGGACCCATAGGAAGGTGACCACTGATCTTTGCTTGGGGAAATGGTCCTTCAGGTTCCTGCTTCGCAGAGCAAACTGCCAGACATTCTACAGGACATAGAGAGAAATGACTGAGAGACTCTAGGCCTGTGGGCTAAAGACAGATGTCCCAACTTTACAAAGGAACATTAGGTGACTGTCCAGACTGCCACCTGTCTCTGTCTATCCTGCAAGACTCCCAAAAGTTGTTGCATCCTTCTCCCATTTCTCAGGTAATAGTATATCCTTCTGGGGTCTTTGATGTAGTTGAAGACTAGATAGTTATAATCTCCTCAGTTATGATAAAAGATAAGTTAGATATAAAACCTTAGACTCACAAATATAAGATAGATAGGATATCTTCTTTAATATTGTAACTGTAATTCTTGCTTGATAATTGTTTTGTTATATCTAATTTTACTATGTTAAAGTTAAAATCTTCCTTTTTGAAAAAAAAGAAAAAAGAGGAAGTGCTGTGGATGATTGGTTGATTAAAAAAAAACACTGATTGGCCAGTAGCCAGACAGGAAGTACAGGCGGGACTAGCAGAGAGGAGAATTGAGAGAACAGGAAGGCGGAGAGGAGGAGACGCCAGCATCTAGGGAGCATCATGTAAAGGCAGCAGGTAAAGCCACGGAACACGTGACAACCTATAGATTTAACAGAAATGGGCTGAGTATAAGAGTAAGAGCTAGACAATGGTAGGCCTGAGCTAATGGCCGAGCAGTTTAAATAATATAAGCATCTGTATGTTTATTTT